TTTTGCCCTTATTTAGTATTGATGTTTAATTCGGTTTCCCCACTTCCCCCACGGTGTAAATATTTTGCCCCAATTAGTATAAAAGTTATCCTTCTGCCTCTTTGTGTAGGTCAGCTTGGTGAGTTAATGTCTGTACTTTGCTCCCTTAGTTAATATTACTTAAGTCCATTTTTGAGTAGAGTTATTTAGTTYACCTCTTTCATGGGCCAATTAACTATGTTTTGACGTTTGTGCCATTTTCTGGAACTTTTCTTTAGGGGTGAAAAAAGGCCCACATTTAAAACTTTAATTTGTTTCCTGCGTCCTCTTTCCCTTCACTGCTTGGTCCTTCACACCCTTATGCAGCTTAGTGGCAAACACTTTTTGGAAAGACAATCCTTAAATACTGCCAACAAATCCTCTCCTATTACTTGCCAGAATGATTTATATAAGTCAGCTGGCAGCCCATCAATGCCAGGAGCTTTCTCGTTCTGCACACAGAGGTACGTAGTTCTGATCGAGACAGGTCTGTTACCAACTTTGCATTTGTCTCCTTCTTGACCTGAGGAAGGCCTTGGTAAAAGGCTGGGGTGGCAGCATAGTGTTTCTGATAGGCTATTCTTTATTGTTCAGCTCCTTGAAAAAATTGACAGCACATGTCTGTTCTGTGCCAAGAGCGTTTAGGGTCTCCCTCGATTTTAGAGAGTCAATAAACATTTTGGGTTTGGTTTTTTTGTTCAGATCTAAAGAAAAAGGATAATGGAACTTGCTGGAAGCAGGATTTAATCATAGCTCCCTGAGTCAAACAAAGCATATTACTTATTTTTAATTAAACCTACATGGCACTGGTCACTTTTGACCTCATATAGCTATAGTAGTGTCTTTACTTCTGTTTCAAAGAAATTAATTGAGGAAGTCAATGTCTTTGTAACATCTCAAGTGTACTATTTTCCCATCATCCCACTGTAATTGCAGTGACTCAAAAATGTGTTTCATCCTTTGATGGTTATTCCAGAAACTCTCAGACATGTTTAAATGCTGGTCTTCCTGCAAAGCGACATTAAAATGCCATCAAGCACTGGTAGGTTTTACTGACTTAATAAAAATAGATGCAATAATAAAAAATAAATGATCTGAAAATCCCACAGGACTTATAAAACATTTTCAAAAAAACAATAAAATGATGCTTAAAGCAATAAAAATCACAAAGTCGAGTCAACGACAAGAGATTGTCCTTGCAGTGAGTCCATGTTTCCTGCCTCTGCTGTCCGTTGATGCTCGTCCACACTTCACACAGTTCATGTCTGCAGGAGGCGATACAGGTGAGTCCCTAAAGCAACATGAGGCTCTGGCTGGTTCCTGTCATGACTGCTGACTACTGCGTGAATCAAATCACCGCTCAACAACAAACACTAAATAATTTACCTACAAAGGAGCTTTTAACAGATTGATGAGCAAGAGGTTTTTTTTTTAGAAAAGAAAGTCAACATCACTGCTTTCTTGACTTAAAAAATATTCCCATCCCACTCTACCTCATTCTCTGTAGAACTGTGTGTCTCTTGTAAAAAGACGTCTACATTTTTAAAGGCCCTCTCACACCAGAAAGTTCTAGACGAGTGAAAATGTTGTCTAACTTTGAAGATGTCTACACTATAGATGAAAAAACTGGAAGCCTCTTTTGGACAYACTGCAATGCTAATGATCAAATCAAATATAGTATATGAATTTTTTTAGTCATTAAAAAATTGCATAAGCTGGCATAAAGCTTGCATTTTAGTCAAATGAGGATCAGGACAACCAGGCTACAGAGAAGCTTCTTCCCACATGCTATCACTCTCCCGAACAACTGACTTTATTATTAGAATTTTACATCATCTCTCTTCTGAAGTCATTAACTGCTGTACCCAATATGTTTGTTATTCTTCTATGCACTCTGAGCTAACACAACCAAAACCAAATTCCTTGTATGTAAGTTGTCTAAAGCTTTATAGCATGACAGGTACTTAACACAGCACAGTTTGAACGATGCAGCTCCCCTGCTCATACTTTTGGCTGCTTTTAAATTCGGACTTCCTGTGTTCAAGTCACACATACTATAGCACAAAATATTAAACACAGACTGACTGCAGCTAGAATTAAACATGTTACGTGTCATCAATTTCTGTTTTTTAACCTGACCAACACCTCCAGAGTTATTCGAAAGGTACTCAACAGGATCTACAGAATCATAAATATTCAATTTTAACATTAAACATATTTTGATATCTTTTAAAAATTATTGAGCAGTGTCATGGTCTGTGTTTATTTCCACTTGACTTTCTAGTGTTTTTCCCTTTGTGTTTGCCGGCCTGTGTTCTTCCCCAGCTCCTCCCCACACACACCTGATCCTCGTGTTGTCTCCCGACCCAGGTGTTCTTAATCTGCTCCTCGTTAGCTCAACTTTATATTCTGAGTGGGTGTTGGTTCATTGTGCTGATTCTGGGCTCTTGCTGAAGTTGGCATTTTGGTCAATGAAAGAGCAGATAGGTTGGCTAAGGAGGCTATAAAAATGAAGAAATTGATTTACCAATAAAGTTATCTAAATCTGAAGGCAAAATTATAGTTTGGAGAGAAAGCAAGAAAATACGGAAAATTACATGGAATAATGAAATAAATGGAAGACATTTATATAGGATACAAAAATCAGTTGATGTAGTAAGGATCAGATGAATAAACTGGAGAGAAGATGTAATTATAAACAGAATAAGAACTGGGCACAGTTTTTTAAATGGAAACCTTTTTAAGATGGGGAAACATCTTACTGGTTTATGTAGTTGGTGTGATAATGTAGAAATGATGTAACATGTTGTTATTAGCTGTAGAAAATGTGCAAATCAAAGAAGATCATTAAAAACGGAATTAGGTTTTGATGGAGAATTGAAGTTTGAGAATGTGGTTGATCAACTGGGTAATATTGAGGGGTAGAAGAAGATTTTTCGTTTTTTTAAAAGAATTCTGGGATCTTTATTAGAATTGGAGGTGATAGAATCCAAGAGATGGCAGTAGTGCAACAGTAATGGATGCAAGCTGCCATTAAGATCTAAAGAAGAAGTTCATTGTGCTGTAACCCCCAACCAGTGTGGATGTCTCTTTGTGTGTTTTGTGTTTCTTGTTTGTTTTAAACACATAAGTTCTTTAAAGCTGCAATGACAGCGGGGTTTTTTTTAATCCGCTCCATCTTGCCTATTCCCTGGCTCGACCTGCCTTAGTCCTCACAAGCAGGATCATAGTTTTTGTTTTGTTTTTTTCTGGAGGGACAGGACTTAGAGAAAGGGATGGATTCTATGTCAGATTCTGGCTCAGTGTCAGTGCCAGAGACCATTAAAACAATATTTCTAACACCCCTGAGGTCTCTCCTGCATCCATGTGTTTCTGAGTGTTATCCTTTATACGTGGATCATTTGTTGTCATACCGCTGTTTTCATCTAGACAGACTTCAGTCTCTCTTTTGTGACCCTGAACCTCTGCACCATCTACCTCACTGATACCTACAGAAAAGTCTCTGGCACCCGTCAGACTCTCTGGATTCAGGCTCCTGTTCTTCAAYRTGAAGGCTTAAGTTTCTAAAGAATTTCCCCTTTAAGGTTCATTTAGCTTTAGAGTATGCACCTCAGAAGAACCACTGCCCACTGTTGGTCATCTTTTGTTGGAACAGCTGTAGTGTTCTTCTTCACTGGACAGGCTCAAATGAGATGGACTTACATCCCACATCTGAAACACCTCAACTTCTCTGATTAAACAWAAACACTGTAATCAAAACCATCAACCTTAAAATTAAAATGTCATGTTTAACTCAACTGTTACCTTTCAGAACCATATAGACCAGTTGTCAAAAAGATATCAAATGTTTCAGATGTGGTGACACATTCTAAGGGGATTTTTTTTGATTGCACACAAGCTTCCCATGTCTTACACCAAAGAAGAAGCAGGACTTTGRATGGGATCATCTTTTTGGCCTTGTTAACCAACGGTACCGCCTGAATAAAAATATCCTGGACCATCATGCTGCTCTCAACAACGGAGATAATTTTATCCATGATGTCAAGAAACATAATGACTCCACTCTTTATCCTGGAGGCAAATTAAATGCTTCAATAACCGACTGGCTCATCGATGGCTAAAGTGCACTTCTCAACAGAACAGTTCAGATTTTAACACAGCTTGAGCCCATGATGACGTGTTAACTCTATCATGACACAAACTCTGTGATCCATAAATGCAGAATGGATCAGTACAGGACCCCACCAAACTAATACATCAACAATAACAAAACCCAGAAAGCAAATTWAAAAAAAAATACACAAAATTTTCTCTGAAATATCTTTGCTCCACAGATGGTCACACATGCATGAGAGATTGCTAGATAAATAAAGGAATATGGGTTATGATTTCAAGTAAGTGTGTTCCTTAGGTACCAGGTTTGAGAAACAGAATCATTTATTTGTATGTGTCTTGACCACACTTGCGCCCTCCTTGCATAAAAGCAGAGCTTCAGCACTGCCACTCGTATTTCTCTCTGTTTACCGCTGYCAAAGCTTTCATCGTTATTAGAATCTCAGAGATTAAAGGTTCACAATGCAGATGTCTAAATTCAAACAAATTGTGAAAATAGAACACACAGACAAATGCTAACTCAAGGTTGAACTCTTCATTTCCCCATTCAGCTAAACAGAAATGTAGGGCTTTCTATGTCTCTGTCATCTTCTGCTGTTGGTTAAAAGGAACGAGGCAGAGRAAGGTCCAATCAATGCTTCAGAATATCCCCTTGAGAGCAGATATGTGAAAAGTTGAAGCCTTTCAAAGGGCTGCACTATTGATTGGAAAGCTTTCCAAAGTATTTTTATTTTATATATTTTTTATCTCTGGGACCATAAGAAGCAAAATGTCGGCTGGTGCACAGCTCGGTGCAGATGGCATGGCTGACCACCMCAGAGGGGAAAGAGGAGGAGTCTAAAATCGAGAGAAAGCAGACACACACTCACCCCTGGCAGTGTTTTCTGCTCATGAAGGGCGTTCTGGGCCTTGATGGCTGACTCACGGGCGCAGTAGGTAAGAAATGCACAACCTGAAACAGAGGTATGACACATATAACCTAATTAGAACAACATACATGCATACTTTTAAAAAAGGAAGTAAACAAAAGGAATACTATGGGCTCTGAATTGCCATTTCTACATTTTTTATATTGTGTGCACATGAAAATATGCTCAACAAATTTTTGTTTTGTGGTCAACACAAATCAACAATTTAAAAGCTTTTCTACATAGTGCAGCACAGAAAAATTGTTGCATTACACAGTTTGTGGACTCAGTCTTTGGCAGATTTTTTCATGGAATCTATCTACTAATAGGTTGTGGTAATCCCTGTAATATCGAAAATACAGCACAGTTTTTTGAACTCTGCTTTTTCCATTAAAAAAAAATACAGTACGTGACACATACCCTTTGTGAGACTTTTTTTAATTTATACAAATAATCTTCAAATTTATAAAAATCACAAAAATAGCAGTTTTACAAAATAAAAATAATCACAAATGCATAAACTATAATATAATATATAAATATATATTATAATATAAAATAGTGTTTAAAATGTTTCAAAGTTAAAATTTCCTAAGGTAACATCTTTATTTGAGTTTGACTGTAAAAACACAATTACCACAAAAAACAAAGACAAAAAATGCTGTGATTCTTAAGAAAGGCTCAATACTATTCACTGACCATTCAGGGTGCCTAAAACATTTTTGCTTTGTGCTGTTGTACTGTTGCTATACTTATAGTATTTTGACAATTTCCAAGGTGCAAAAATAATCTAAATAAACAAGTTAAAGAAATATATGTGTTTATCTTTGTGCCTTTTTGAAATCAGTTCAAATTTCACTGGTTTGGTTGTTTCCAGTAAATGAAAAGAAGAATCCAGAAAAGCAATAATATGAGAAGAAACTAGACTAGGGATTGAGGCAATAATTTCCCCCCTGACTATTAGGATAAAGAGATTTGCTTGTGTTCTATTAATGAGGTTGATACGGGTTAGCATGCATCATATTTCTGCCACTCTGAAGGTGGTTTATTAGCAGCCTTGCATTCTGGATCTCATTTCATCAGCCAAATGTATTCAGTGGGTGGTGATGTATTGAGTGTCTTTACGTGGACAATATTCCAATCCATTTATCTTTCCTCATACAAGATCACTTTTTATTCAACCATGAACCATATTTTTATGTCTTTAAACAACATGCATATGTATCCACTGTAGCCTTAACAGAACTGCATCAAAGGCTCATTGATCAAATTGAAGGCGCATGGGTCAAATGTAGCTCACCACGACATTTTAAGTGGCCCGCGAGTACTTCAAAAATGTATTATCTTATAATAAGCATATGCTGTTAAAAAGCCAGCGTTGACTAGCCTGGTTAACTTCACTTTGCTTCGTACAAGGGTCTGGACTTGCTGCATAGAGAAGCGTTTCTTGTAGGAGGCGTGGCCTCTGCTGAAGCATGTGTGTTGTCGCTGTGAAGGAGGCTAAGCTAACCGAAAATCGCATGTGCTGCAAACAACCCTACTGATAGGAGAAATATACCGAGCCGAACGAGACGACTGTAAATGAGAGCTGCTGCTTTGTCAGACAAATTTAATTTAATTTGGAAGCCTCATCGACACAGACTGGCTTCATTCACTTCCTCCACTGCTGTATGCTAAAATAACTAGCAGACACTGCGCAGAACATTGACGTCATTCAAAACTCCTCCTTCTGTTCTCTGATTGGCCCAGGTAAAATAAACTACAAGCAGACACTGCGCAGAAAATTGACGTTCTGTTCTCTGATTGGCCCAGGTAAAATAAACTACAAGCAGACACTGCGCAGAAAATTGACGTACTGCTCCCTGATTGGCCCGCCAAAAAATCTGCCAGAGAAATCCTTGTCAATGAGAGAAGTCCCAGATGGAGCAGTGAAGGGAAACTAGAATTGAGCGGAGCTGCGTAGGAAGGCAAGGGCCAGGCTAAGCATTGACCATCCCTCATAATGAATGTCATTTACTTTACCTACAAAATGACATCTTACCACTAGGTGGAGGAGCACAAGGTTCAAAAGTAGCCTGTGTAATACCGGTAGACAACGACTGGTAAATTTGCTGTATAAAATGCTGCTTTTGCATACAGCCCTGTTGTATTGGTCATACAATTAAATTGGAACGCCCATTTCATTGGGAATTCCTTGTAGGAAAGTGGGAGGGATTTTAGAATTTCAGACGACAAGCAAGTAAACTTGCTTACTTCTACTTTTAATAGTATTTCTGTATTATTTATTTCACATTCAGTCAGTTGTACATGTAGTACTTTTTAGTTTTTATAAGAGAACGTCTTAAAATGCTGTTCCTACGCAGGAAATACCACACAAGAGTTTAGTTATTGTTTATTAGTTGTGCTCAGATGTAGTGATGAGATTAGGAATGTGATGGTTTGTGTTTAATCAAAAGTTATAAACAAAAAATCGAAGTAATTACCAGGTTAATTAATTGAGGGTCACATGTGGCCCTTGGTGAAAAGGAGTTTGATACCTGTCAGAATATAGCCTGGTTCAAACCAGACCCTGTGCTTCACTTTGCTTCGTACAAGGGTCTGGACTTGATGCATAGAGAATCGATTTCTTGCAGGAGGCGTGGCCTCTGCTGAAGCATGTGTGTGTTGTCGCTGTGAAGGAGGCTAAGCTAAGAAGCTAACCGGAAATCGCGTGTGCTGTAAACAACCCTACTGAGAGGGGAAAAGTACCGAGCTGGAAATGAGAGCTGCTGCTTTGTCAGACAAATTTATTTTAATTTGGAAGCCTTATCAACACAGACTGGCTTCATTC